AGTACGTACTAGTATATATATATATATATATATATATATATATATATATATATTGCTCACACGTAGAAAAGAAATTAGTACGAACAACTCTCTTTTGATGCGCACTAGAATGTTATTTAATGAGACGAAATAAAGAACTAAACTCAAAGGAGATACGCTTGAACGTTATTGCGTATAAAAAGGTTTTAATATACCGATCAGAGCAATCTGTTATGTTCGTTACGATGATTACCTTAAAAAATTCCACAAGCTTTCCCAATCCCAGTACCGCGTTGACACAATGATAATGAAGATGTGTCCAAAACAATAAACTCCAGTCAACGCAAAAATCCATCCAAATTCAACTGTTTCTGCGGTGGAACTATTTAAAATAATTGACAAAGCATGCGCAATTTGGCGCAAATATTGCAAATGTGATTGTTTTGTTCATTGCGGTAAATTTCCTGTACAATACGCTGCAAGAGTATAACTGCAATCGGAGCAAGGCTATTAGATGTAGCGTGATCGAATGCGTCCTGTGCTTTCAACGTTAATGCATTACTTATTTGGCCTGGAAACTGGCTGGATGAAAGTAATCACTACAATTCTTACTTTTGATTGTTGCATGTGGTTGCAATGAAGCTTTGAATAGTAGCATTAGTAGTAAGCGACACAAGAAATCAATAAAGTTATCTATAGCACGCAGCGTTTATTCGATGTCGACGTAAGCTGCATGGTGGCGTTCTTTTTACAATTTCATGCTATTTTAAACGATATGCGTTATTATATATATATACCGTATACAAACGAAAGTTGTACATCCGCCTACACCATACAATACAAGCGATATAATTTCTGATATACAGACGAATTCGAACTAACACGTGCGTTACGTTAATTATATCAAGACTTACCAATGATTTATTACATATTTATATAATAATGCATGGTTAAGATATACTGATATATATATATATATAGTGCGTGCGTGCATGCGTGCGTGCTTGAGTCTGCGAGTCAGTGTTAGTGTATGGGTGGGCGGATGTGTGCGCGCGGGTGTGGGCGTGTTTGTGTGTTCGTACGTGTGCAGCTATGTGTACATATCACAATATATCCCATAAAACCCCGTAAACGTACAATTACTTACATACAGATGTAGTAAGTGTATCACACGATGCTGATTTCCTGTAATATGAGCGCGTTATAGTTTCCCATCGCGACACATCGAAAGAAAGGTATTAGTGACGCAATAACATTCGATAGTACACGATAACGGTAAGTAATAATTGTATACAGAAATATAGGCCCATTTATATCGCATAATTTAACTCTACCTATAGCATAACCTATACAGTTGCACAGGAACCGAATTAAAAGCATTAACTCCTCAGATATGCGCTCACTACAGGCATGTCCGAAGTTAACTGTTATAAAATCGTCACTTTTCCGCCCCGTATATACCGTGACCTCTAAGCACGGACGCTATAATGACACGAAAAAATATGGATAAACTTGAGCTTCATATATCAAGAACGAGATACCTCGGCACGACCGCTACGAACACGGTGAGACACGCGACGCGATTCCATTACACGTATTTCTCTTATATCCATGACAACGATCAAAGGGAATCTCGCAACGAACATCTCCATAGTTAGTTGTTGTGCGACGCCATCTTAATTCGCATCGTAAACCGGGATGGAGAGTCACGTACTTATACAATATGCAATTTGCAATTTACGCAATTGCATTTTAGACGTCGTCGTCACGTGTGTCTGGGAGCATGCGACGCTCCGCACAGCATCGCGAACCAGATTCGAGAGTAACATCGTTTCTAAACGCATGACGACGAAATGATCGCGACTCGCACTGTTTCGTACATACACACGGCTCGGAGTATAGCAACCGCGATAGTCCCATTCGGCTCTCGGTGCATCCTTGGGATAGCGGGATGGTTATGATGACAGGAGTGGGAGGGGGGCAGTTACGACACATAATGATTATATATCCAACGTCTTCGCACATCACGACGTATTAAATTGCACATTGACTGTTAATGCTCCATCATCCTACTTCATTCGTGTAAGACAAATGCGGCTATCAATTTAAAAACGGCTATGCGGTAGAGGGCGGGGGAGGATATATAGACTCCAATTTCATCAACGATTGAAGCTGATTCGTAGTTGATTCATTTAATCACGACATATGGAAGTTGGCGCAGCAAGCTTAACTACTACAATAGCTCAAGGGTGAAATGCGTTAAAAAGGGTTCCTTTTCGAAAACTGGGTCAGCAAGCAACAAGGTCAAAAGCAGCGTTTGTAAAATAAATGTCTGCTTTCAACTTTGCCATGTCATAACGGCTGCTATTTGCAGCACTCACAGATCATACTATGACCTCAGAGAGACATCGCAGGGGGCTGTACTGAGCTCTCACATCGCAGTTTTTGGACTTTTTACCGCTCGTACCCCAAGTCCTCATGAATATCAGATCAAGATGTTATCGTACAGCGTTGTGCACACAACGACACCTGGTGAGAGGCGGGCGAACTACGGGGCGAAGCCAGCCGCTCATACGCTGCACACAACGACACCTGGTGAGAGGCGGGCGAACTACGGGGCGAAGCCAGCCGCTCACACGCTGCACACAGCGACACCTGGTGAGAGGCGGACGAACTACGAGGCGACCCTTCACACGCTGCTCATCTGCGTGGTGGCGCCACCTCCGCTGTGCACCGAGGGACTCGCATGAATCCTATCGTAGGACGAGGGCGAGCGATGCGGCGGATCCTTGCTGTTAACAGCGGCGTAGCGAGCCGACAACCGACGGCCGTTGTACATGGACGGATTTCGCGCGCACCCGGACTCTCCCTCGCGCACGCACACAGTGTAGCCGGAGTTGGAGAGGTAGTTGTCCTCTCGGCGCTTCTTCCCGCAGGGGCAGCACCGTTGCAGGTCGCGCTTGACGTTGATCGTGAAGAGGCCATAGACAATCGGGTCCATGCATGAGTTGGAGACGGCGAAGAGGAACAGGCCTCGCTGTATTCGCGGGTCTACTTGCTTCGCTGACTCCTCGTCCAACCAGAACCACAGGCACATGATGTAGTAGGGCGTCCAGCACATTATAAACACTATCACAATAATGAGCGTCATCTTCAACGTCTTTGCTTTAGCCTTACCGATGTTACCAACGCCGGACCGCCTTAGCTGCGCCGAGCCGTTCCTGACGTTGATGCTTCCTGAGAAAAACAAACATGGAGACAGCATCACATATATAGCTGTTCAGCAATTCAATTCAATTCAATCTACTTTATTTACACTTATGAATTACATTTTAGAGGTAACATATTAGTTACGCAAGTTAATAGACAATGTTAATAAAAATTAAAACAAATGAAACAAAATAGATAGAGGTGATGGAGGATGAAATGACATCAGAAGAGGACGGTATACTATTACGGTTGGAGATGCATTTGGTGAGGTTGAATGAGAGAGAATTTAGATTGAGTGAGAAATTATAATGCACTGCACATATTTCCCCGGGTTGAAACAGATAAACGTAGCAGCGTTTGGTTGCTAGACATAGGGTTACCAGGAATCCCGATATCCCATCATACATATCCCCATTTACTTTGGCATTTACTTGGCCTAAGAATTTGCATAGTAAATTAAATAGAAGCTGGCTTTTTATCTTGGCCGGTTATTTCCAAACATATTTTCGTGTCACGTTGGCTTAACGCTATATAGCAACTGCAACAGTAATAATAACTAGAATAAATAATTAATAATTCTACAGACTATTACATAGTACGTATTAAATCGCATCATCCATGTACGCGTGTATATTCTATGCGCGCAATATAAACTATTTACGATGAGCCGCTTAAAGCTATAACCGATATTTGTGCTAGCTGTTTCACGTCACGTCTGTTTATCTCTACCACCTAACTGTAAAGTATGAATATTTGATACAGCCTATTAGGCCGCGCATGGCGATACTCATTCTACGTGCGTGCGAAGACTTTATATGAATAGCATGCTGATGTCATAACGTTGTTGAAAGAAGAAGCGCGCATTGTCGTCGTCTTACAAAAGGTAAAAGGCAATAACCCCTCAAGGCCGAAACACTCAAGAATTAATGGAAATGGAGGAAGGTTGGGCGGGGGCCGTGTAATGTTACGAGGCGCGTCCTTATCACAGAATTCTTCTCATTTCCTCGCTTCGTTTTACAGTCGTTTTTCGTTTAGAATCTATACGAGACACGGACAGGACCGCTGGAAAGGTGGCGGCTGCATGCCTTCACTAGACCAGCGATGCCCTTCCGCCGAAAAGTGTAGTCACGAATCATATATCACTTAAAATAATTAAGACGATAAATTGTCTGTGCAACATTGTCAGTAGAGTTAACTAACAATTGTTTTTCCGTAGTTTCTAGTTAAACACAATATATATATACACATATATATATATATATGTGCGTGTGTGTGCGTGCGTGCGTGCGTGCGTGCGTGCGTGCGTGCGTGCGTGCGTGCGTGCACAGATGGGTGCGGAGATATCGTCGACCATGGGCAATTACTGAACGCGCATGCGCAATCTCGCTCTATTCGCCGTCACAGAAATTGATTCACTTTACATCTACTTATATCTACGAACTATGCGAGAAAGGACGCGATTATGAATACGGTCGAAATGCGCGTTTTGTTATGCGTGACATGTCAAGACGAAGACGGCGACATTTTGTTCATATACCGATATTTATATTATCTATACATGTGCAGACTCGCGCGGGAAACCTGGTCTACATTAGCATATAAATATAGCTATTGATCTCCAGGTTCACACGCGCATAAACGCGAAATAATGCATCGCATTCTCTTTCCCGCCACCTGCTTTATAAATCGCGTAGTCTGCAAACGTGCCGCACGACTTGATGTCGCACTAAGGTTTCCGTAAAACAGGAAATGAAGCATCTAGGCGATTCGCTGAGAACGCACTATTCGAATCATCTATCGCTCTCGCGCACGCACGCGCCAATCCCTCGCACATTTTACGTGCGTTCGTGATCTGCTACGTAAGGGCTTCACTTAGCGACTGATATTACTTCGCGTCAGTAGTCAGCGTGCGCATGCGCGCTGGCTACACAGCTTTGCAATCCTACGCGACGAAGGGTATATAGGGACAACCACGACTCTTATTCATTTATTTCTGTATTTCTTCAGGTATTTTTTAACCAGGATACCGTGTGGATTCACGGCACTATTCTCCCCATAGGCAGATCAAATTCTTGCGTGTAGTACTTTGGAACCTAGTTAAGGTTAGGCGGGCCAACATCCAATCGATTAAAGCGTGTATAGCAAGACGAAGCCCACTAGCAGACACACTCACCTTTGACCTCCCGCGACTTCTTTGCTATCTCGCGTAGAATGAGAAGGTAGAAGATGGTGATGATGATCAGAGGGAGTCCGTACATCGCCAACATCGTAAAGAACATGTACGTCAGATAGTGACGCTTCGACTTAAAGAAGTCGTAAGTGACACACTGCTGGAACCAGTGGTGGTACGGATGCGCCTGCACGTGGAAAATGACACTCTGCAAAAAAAAGGGAATAAGTTGCGGTTGAATTCTTCGACAATCGCTTACTAATGAAATACTAATAACAGACGAGTGAGTTTAATTCTTAATTGAACGGGGTTTACCTAACGTGCGTCCAGACGATGGATGAAGCAATTACCGGTATAAAGACGACACTTCACTAGAAAATTCCGAATAATAGCGAATATTTGAAGTCCCTCGGTAAGCGGCTTCCGGGAGTTCGTTAAATACTGGGATGCAAGCCTGATGTATTGTCGAAAATGATAATTTCAGTACCGCTAGGACTAAATTCGCGGTTCAACCCCTTCTGAAAATAAAGAGATATTAATGCACTAAGTTAACAATATATTGTGTCGTTTTTCTCTGGTCCGGAAGTTTAATTTATAAAATGAAACTCCCATGATGATATTGCACTCGTCGGCGCCATAGTCGCATATCATAGTAGATGGCCTGTTGTTTAGGTTAGAACTGTAAGATCACGGTAGAAACCCTCAGATCAAGTAAGATACTGATGTATAACCGACTTAGATAATATACAATATGTATATTATTTGACTCCATACATCGTAAAATACTGATCATTGCAAGGCAGAATACAACATTTCACTGACATTTTGCGCCGGACTCATGAGTAGCAAAGACGTTTCGTTTGTTCCAGCAAATGTATGCAAGACGGTAATGCCTACAAGACGGTTAACCTTTGATGTCTATTTTTGCATTCAGGTAATTCTCTGTCCTTCTCTGTGTCTCAAGTGCTTTTTCTTTAACGTTGCATAAGGTCATGAGACAACCACTCAGCGCTGGCCACTACAACTGTCGTTAGACGATCCTTTTAGTAAGATAGAAAAACAGTGACTATTCTTTTCTCTCCCAAACGTATATAGGCTACATAGGGCATAAATTTTCTAAATAATTCAGGACTAATAACGTCTTTTATAAGCTAGGTCTACGCGACATAATCAGAAAACTCGTGTTTTCAAAGCTGCCCCGTAGACGAGACTGATAGTGCTATTGAGCTTTTGTGTGATACCGCTCCTATATACACTTATTAATTAAATAAAGCTATCGTACTTGATCTCCTTACATTTTACCAATAACATGAAGCCCTGAGCTAACGATGGCGTCTCAGAATACTCTGTCCATGCCAGATACATGTCAGGACTATGCGTGAAGTCATTGTTTTCATACGGACAAATAAATGCACGAACGCAGTGACTCCCCAGCAAAAGGGCGGACGCGCTTGTCATACTATATATCTTTTACCATATGAAGTATGACTAGTACTAATTTATTTATTAATTATTACTAGTAAGTTATTAATAAGATCGACCCTCTCGTGCTTTAGATGTGATTAAGCAGCATTTTAATTAACGATTGAAATTTGTTATTATATCAAAGTAATCAATCAATCGAAAAACAATTACCAAACCAATCAAATTAAATAGAGATCACATCGATACATGTTTAACTAAAGTGGTAAACAGATTATGCTCATGCTTCATCATTGCCTCCTAATTTCAGCTCAGTAACGCAGCTGCTTTGGTCAGTATAAAATGAGCATTTTTATTCATAAATTCATCCGTTTTTGGCAGCATATAATGAACACCGTAGACACGTTATCTCCGCATGTAACAGCACCGCAGACATCACGTTTCTGTAGCATTATGAAATTATTAGCATAATTATGTAAAGTCAATTGTTGGCCTACGGACGGACGGAGGAACGTGGTGTCTGATCGTCGGATAGTCTGATCGCCCTTCAGATGACTAATTCAGGCGAGCACACTTCAAACCTTATCAAATCATTTAGTGATCCATCGTTAGAATCATTGGCGTATTGCTAATCTGTTTCGAGTCTTCAGTTAATGAGACATTTCCGAATTCGTTTTACAATTATACCAAGAGCTTCTTAATACACTCTTGATTATACTAAAGCATGTTTACACGAAACTATAAATAACTAATTTCCATTTTGCTCTTATCAGTTTTTTTTTTATTTAGACAAAAACTACTATTTCAAACGTCATTTTGATATGATATACTGAATCGTTGACAGAGAATGATAATCACTTAATTTCAGAAACTTGAAAATCGCTGAATTTATAGCGCGCAATTGCTAAAGGTGACGCATTGTGGGCTGCAGTTGTTACGTCTGTAGGCAATATTGATTATCTTTTATTAAATGGCGCCTGTCAGATTTGAGAAAGGTACGTGCAAATGTGTTCTCTTGGAACTTGTGAAATTTCTAAAAGGTAGATAAAACCAGTAGAAATTTGCTGGAGCGGCAATAATATCGGGTGACAGTATTTTCCTCTCTATATATACTCACTACTGTCCCCCGAGTACATTCACCGAATCCTAAATGCACACGCCGTGCGGCGCGTGCTAACTTCAATTAGTTTTTCGGAAAAAAAACTCACACGCAAAATGCCCTCTAGTTCCTTAAAGCCCGGCGCACACGTGAGTAATTTAACTCAAGTAAAATGATGCATCCGTCAAAATTGTGACGCGAAATATTTTCAGCGTCCGCCGCGCACGTGAGTAAAATTACTCAAGATATAAGTGGTAATGTAGATCACGTGACTGTGCGCAGCCAATACTGGGCGCAGTCATCTTTAAAATGGTTTAAACGCATGCGCAGTGAGTACCCGTGTTGAGTAAATTTACGCAGCTAGCGCGCACACGTTGAGTATTTTGACGCATAAGTCAAAAATTATCAAACATGTTTGATATTGAGTTTCTTGACGCGTGCATCAGAAAACCCAACGAAAATCCGCCGCACACGTGAGTATTTTGACGCATGCATCATTTTACTTGAGTAAAATTACTCACGTGTGCGCCCGGCTAAGGAACTAGAGGCCATTTTGCGTGTGAGGTAGTATCGCCCCCGTCAGTATTTACGAGACAGTGCGAGGCAGCGTATGCAATTACTACCACATCGCTCGTGCAGCCGGGATGATCAAGCACAAATACGCGCCGCATGTGATGACGGTTGTGCATCGGCAGGCGAGGCTCGGTATTACAGAGCTCCGATCGCTTCGTTAGATCTCACCAGACACCGCTAGACAAAGATGCCGGCAGTTTTTCTGACAAAGATGCCGGCAGTTTTGCTGACAAAGATGTTCGCATGTCTTCCTCCTCGCGCGAGCGCGCGCCGACCAACTCGTTTGCACAGCTTTGCTCAGGACTAGATGCACGATTAAAGAGAAAAGGAATTTAATAATAGCTTTGAGAAGGAACGAGGACGCGGAAATTTCGCACAAACGACAACACGGTGGAAAACCTTACGGTGCGCGCGCATGCACACGCGCACGCGCATGTACCCGTGTCTATGATACGTATGCGCGTATACATGTACGTGTGTACACGTGGTTGCACGCATACGTATGAGCGTGTGTGCGTGTGTTCGTGTGCGTGCGCTCATACGTGTAAGCCACGCATGCAAACACATGTACACATGAGCATACGTTTGCGCGTGCACACGGGAACACATTTAATCGTATACGCGTACACACACACGCGTACAAACGGTAGGAGGAAAGAGTCAGGAATGTCTAAACAAGCGAGATGGGATTGCGTATGAAACGTTCAGTTTTTAAAGAAAAGCATTTCGTTTTTCAATGAAGATAATAGCCACGATCAAATTGAAATTGAAATTCAAAATGAATATATGATATAATATTGATCGGCATACGATGCATTTCCCGTCGATTAGCATCAACATTTTCATTTATGCGAGCGAATGTTCTACTTAATTATCATCCACGTAAAATGGCATTCCCATTTTCTCTAACAAAAATAACTCGTAAAAGGCCTATTAGGAGTTTCTTTAAGTGCCGTGATGACGATACGACATGGCAGCCAGGATTTGAATAATATTTAGGATATAAATATGTGATGAGAGCAGGATGTATTTCTGCTTCATAAATGACTTATGTGCTCTTGTCGGTACCTTCATGTTTTCTACAATGAACTTTTTTAAACATGACATTAAAATTATGGTCTTTCGTATATAAATAAGGAATCTCCTTTACCAGGTAAAAAATTCCGTTTATTTCTTGAATAATGAAAATATGAAGTCTAGTTCCTCCCATTACACGAAAGGTTATTTTTTAGTATGTAAACCGAACATAAAATAACGTAGAAAGGAGTTCTTTTTAAGATGTCGCAAAAAATACCAACACGGGTGTTGCCACGCTTTGGAGAGAAAATCATCATCATGGAGAGAAAATGTTCCTAACAACGCGGAATAACATCCACTGCCTCTATGTAGATTACGTGATTACTCCGTCCATATGGGTCTATATCAGGAGTAGATAATAGGTAGAGATAGTAGATAGTAGTCCCTATTATCTACTCCTGGTCTATATATATATATACACTGTGGCCGAGGAATATTGTAAAATAATGTTTGATGGATAACTTGGCAGATAATTAGAGTTTTTATTGTTCTTTATCATCATTTATCTCTTATCTTTTAGTATCTTATTTCTATTATATATCTATGGTGAATTATGTACGTGACTTTATACGACGCTAGAGCATTAGTCGACGCGGACTACTGACCAGCGCATGTTGCTAACAATGGCTGCCCACGCCCGCCATCTTACACGCCACCGAGCTGTGTGGTGAACATACGCATGAGTTACTCACTTAGAAATCACGTCTGCACCCTAATGTATAAGCGCTAACGCTGTCATCAGAGTTGGCAGTGATCACGGTCGCTTAGATGCGGGTCGCTGTGCAACGACATTACTGTAATTCGTGATGGCTGCCTGTTCGCTCCTTCAGAACCGCATGCAAGCATACCGTGAATATGCCTGCGACGCGTGTGCTATACTGGCTACATATATCAGAATCCTCATTGCAAGGTGTCAGCGGAATTATCTGCGTGTTGTTTAGTTTGTTAGTTAGTTATTTGGTTACTTGCTTATTTTTTCTTAGTTACTTACGTAGTTATTAAAGTTGATATTATACGCTAAGTAATTGTTATCGGCG